CCTTGGCTTGGGCTCAGCTCCCTGCTGCTTTTTCAAAATCAACTGGTGCTGATTTCCAAGCCAGGCCACTGGCCTGTTGAGCCCCACAGAAGACTGGGAGGGAGGACAGCTGGGTCCTTTGATCCAGTGCCCATCCCTTCTCTTTGGCCAAATTAGTTGCCAGTGAACACTGGGAGACCCACGGGGCTTTGGCCTCTGGCAAACAATGACCCCTCTTTAGTCCAGCCAGTGTATGGGGTTTGGGGGCCCGTGGCCCGTGCTGCAGAGGATAGTGGCCCGCATCTTTTCCGCTCCCTGGGGTAAGCCGTAGCAAGGGGAGGGTCTGGGCCCAAGAGAAGCCGCAGCCTTCCCAGAAACCTCATCACTGTCTGGCCCATGCCCATCCTCCAGGAGTTCAGCCCCTAGGCTCAGGGGGCCAGGGGGTTCTGCTTCTAGGGCCGGTCCTCCTGGGCAGTGCGGAGGTGGAACTCATGGGTGCCCTGGCCTGACTCACTCAGATTCCAAGACTTGAGAAGGAATGCTGCATGGGAACTGGCGGGGTTGCCATGGGTGGAACGGGCCTGGAGGGGACCCCTCGGAACCTCCCTCCCAGAGCCAGGAGAGAGGATGGTGCCCTTCCCTGCACTGCCCAGGAGGTCCACCGCCATGTGGCTTTAAGCTGTGTGGTGCTGGGAGGAGGAGGGGGAGGAGGGATGGTGTTTGTCTCACAACTGGATTTAATCTGAAACACATGTATTGGCTCAAATTTATCCTCCCAGCTGGAAGGCAAGATCACAAAATCCCATTTCCTTGTGTCTCTTTTGATTTTGGTAAATGTGGCAGAAAGGAAGACCTGGCCTTGGCCCAACAGTGAGAATATCTACCTCCTCCCCATGCCCTCCCCTTCCTGGTAGGACGGGAGTCTGGCTTGGATACTGCCCTTTGGACGGAGGGCATCAGTGTCCCTGTGCCCCTGGCCGGGCGGCGGCTGCCTGCCCTCAGGCCATGGAACAATCCCCTTGGACAGGGTATCGGGTGGGCTCAGAGGGACCCTTAAGCCCATGCAGACTGACTCTCTGCCGTCCCAGGGCCCTTTTGGGGGGGCTCTCCATAATCTCTCCCCTTCCCTCATCCCCAGGGTTTGAGGTGGAGGATTCGGAGGTACCATGAATACTACATGTCCCAGCAACTGGCTCTGGACCAGCTGGGGACCATGTGCCTTTCGGCGCCAGGGACCCTCACCTTATCTTCAGTCCTCAGCCCACCCACATGGGGACCGTGATCCCACAGCCTGGGGCTTGGGCTGACTCTGTAGGGACTCCTACAGAGAAGGTTTGACCTTCAAGTGCATTTGAACCGTGAGCTTAGTTCTCTTAGACACTATGGCAGGCTGACCCCCGGGTCCCTCCTACCTCAGCTCCCTACTCTGGCCAGAGGGACTAGCGCGAACGCCTCCTCCGGCACCCTTGCCGCCTAGACATCTCACGGAATTTGGGTGTCTGATAAACCAGTCTGCTGGGGCTCAGGCAAGAAGACTCCCGCTCGCTCTGGGGTGGGGCGGGAGGGCGGAGAGAGCAGCAGTGAGCCTGTGTGGTGTTCAAGGTCTCTATCTGGTTCCGCAGAAAGCTTGTCCCCGTGCCTCAGTGCAAGATTCTCCGTGAGCGCCAAAGGCAGCTGTGTAGGACAGTAGCTGGCTGAGCACTCGGGGTCTGTGGGGCTCTCTCTGGGACACAAGCTCCAGATCAGGGTCTGGGAAGAAAGCAGCCCAGCCATAGGCTGAGCAAACTCTGGACGCGGTCTCTTGGTTTGTTGCCTTTCATCTCTACAGTGTTGTCCGGTGGATTATCTGGCTTGATTCTAAGGACTTTGGCCAAAAATCACACACCGCACTCCCAACTTTCCTATTTGTTCTGAGAAGTCAGGAAAGTATGTGTGCTGCGCGTGTGGGAGGGTACTTATGGGCATATACACAGGTGACGATGAAGGTGCTGGAGACCCTTGGCCTGTGTGTGCGTGCGTGCGCGTAGGGGAGGTGAGGGGCAGGGAGGACAGATATTGTAAATTGTTGACCTGGCATGTGGATGGGAGGGAGGACACGGACCAAGCGAAGGTCCTAGTTACTGAGACCTTGTCCCACTTTTTAAACAGAAGGCCCCTTGGAAGATCCTATCTGTGAAACCCCCGTAACCGCCTTCATCCCCTCCCACTACCCCACACCCTGACTCCAAGGGGTGAGTTCATGGACGCAGCAAGTGCAGGAGGCTGAGGGACGGTGGCATACATAGAGCCCTGGACTCAGATTTCCCTTTTCCCTTGTGGTCCAGGGGCCAGAGGGAGCTGGTCAGAGGAGGCCACTGCTGGGGGACATGAAGGGACCTGGGGCTGTTTAACCCGAAGGAAAAAAAGCTCTGAGGGTGTAAGAGCTATTTTTGAGCTGGCAGGGGGCAGAGGACCTGGCTCCCCAGGAGAGAAGGGGGGCCCTGGGGCTCCAGGTGTAGGGAGATGCATTTTTAGCTCTGGGATCGCTGGAGAGCTCACCTGTCTCTGTGCTGTTCAGTTCTTTGGAGACATTATCTAATTTAATCCTCATCACAATAGGTAAGAACTATTTGCTTTCCATTTTGCAAGAGAAGACGCTGCGAGTTAGAATTGAGATTTGAACCCAGGCGGTCTGACCCTAGACCCAGTGCTCCTTAGCAGAAGAGTAAGAACTCTCCCTAGAGAACTATCTGCGAGGGGAATGAGTCCCTTATGAGGCCACAGGTTCTAGGCCAGAGTAAATTCAAGGCCAGAGTCTCAGAACTTCCTGGGGATAGCAAGGGGCTGGCCAGGTGCGTCCATTCTCGGTATTCTGGAATTCTACATATGGGAACTAGATTCTGTCCCATTCTGACATTACCCCAAATCCTCTATCGGGAGCTGGCCAGGTGCCTCCAGAAGACCCTTGCTGTGCATTTGTGCTAGGCCATAGCCACGCAGAGGAGTTCACTGCTGGGTCTCCACGGCCCTGGAGCTTTAGGCCCCGAGGTCTCCTGACACACACAGGGGGACGAAAGGACAAGCTCATCCTGGGGCTGTAGGCCATGAGGCAGGTGCAGGGGTGGTGAGGGGATCAGAGGGAGGGACCGTCAAGTTGAGGGTCCACTTCCAGCCTGGGGAGGTCGGAGGCAAGGTGCCTCGTCCTGCCAAGCTCCTGCTCCCCGCTCAGGGTGGCAGGCGGAGCGGGGTGGTCGGGGCAGGGAAACGGCTGGCTGCCTCTTGCTTTCTTGCAGGCCCCAGGATGCAGGCCCTCATGCTACTCCTCTGGACTGGAGCCCTCCTCGGGCACAGCAGCAGCCAGGACCGTGCTGGCAGCCCACAGGAGGTCAGTGGGGCTGGGGTGAGGCGGGGTGTCGGCAATCCCAGGTCCTCCTTAGCAGGGAGCACGGGAGACAGGACAGCCACCCGGGCTCCAGGCCAGGCTCTGGCCTTTATGTGCAGATAGGGCCTTGATTTCTCCTTCAGCAAAACAGAAAACATCTTTTTTTTTTAAATTTTATTTATTTATTTCAGAGAGAGAGAGAATGAGAGAGAGAAAGCACGAGAGGGAAGAGGGTGAGAGGGAGAAGCAGACTCCCCGCCAAGCAGGGAGCCCGATGCGGGACTCGATCCCGGGACTCCAGGATCATGACCTGAGCCGAAGGCAGTCGCTTAACCAACTGAGCCACCCAGGCGCCCAAAACAGAAAACATCTTGCCTTGCCTTTCAGACAGTGGAGACCAAAAGAAGATCCCAGAAGGTGAAAAGTGAAGGCAGTCTAGCAAGCCTAGGGGGATCCCTTTCAGTGAAGACCTTTTCTCATTACTTTGCATTACTCGTGAGTCTCACTGACTGGGCGGTGGTCCTGGATATTTGTGCAGTGGAGATGCAAGCGTGTGGAAAGGCCTCTTTCCTGTCCAGAGGAAGCACGGTCAGACTGCAAAGGCAGACGCTGAGAAGCTCACGCTAAGGGACAGTGAGGGGCCAGGGCAGCCCGGGCATACTGGCTGGAGCCCTGGACTTTGTCAAGTTCTGGCTCTACCTCTCACCTAGCTTTGTTACCATAGACAAGCGGCTTTGACCTGAGTCTCTTTCTTATCTATAAGATGGGATTAAAAATACGTATCCTGGGGCACCTGGGTGGCTCAGTCGGTTAAGAGTCTGCCTTTGGCTCAGGTCATGATCCCAGGGGCCTGGGATTGAGTCCCGCATCGGGCTCCCTGCTTAGTAGGGAGCCTGCTTCTCCCTCTTCCTCTGTAGCTCCCCCTGCTTGTGCTCTCTCTCTCTCTCCCTCTCCGTCTCTCAAATAAATAAATAAATAAATCTTTAAAGAAAAACAAAAACCACCCTTGCACGGCCATTATCGCCAGTCACTTACTTTTTACCTACTGAATACCTGCTCTGTAGGGGCTGGGGCTGGGTGGAAATATAGAAGACTCAGTTCTTGCCTTCAAGGAACTCAGTCTTTTGAGGTATCAAATACATCAACAAGCATGAAATGAAGTAATTCCAATGAGAAGAACCAGCACAGAGCCTGGTACATGGTAGGTGGTTAGTATAAGTGGTAGTTGACCCCGCAAAAAGCTCAGAAAACCAAAAAGTGCCTTCAGATTGGAGTGATCAGGGAAAAGTTGTGGAGGAAATACTACATGATCAGGGCCATGAAAGACAGGGTCAGGGTGGGGGGGGTCACAGAGGTAGAGACCTGGGAGCAGTAAGCAAGGGGGGAACAGACAGGCAGCTTGCTCTGGCCTGAGCAGGGTTCCTTGGAAGGGAGGGCCTCTTCTCCTTCTCTCTCTCTCTCTCTCTCTCTTTTTTTAAAGATCTTATTTGTCAGAGAGAGAGGGAGAGAGCACAAGCAGGGGAAGCAGCAGAGGGAGAAGTAGGCTCTTTGCTGAGCAGGGAGCCCGATGCGGGACTCGATCCCAGGACCCTGGGATCATGACCTGAGCTGAAGGCAGACACTTAACGACTGAGCCACCCTGGCGCCCTCACACTCTCTTTTTTTTAAGTATGTCACAGGCCTGAGGCTCACAGGTCACTAGTGCTTTGGTCAGCTAATTTCCGTGTGGGGCTGCCTGTCCCCAGCCGAGAACTCCAGCATGATCTGGGAGCACACCCTCCTTCCAACACTAGGCTACACGTAGGGTACTCAGGCAGGACGTCTCGAAGGGGCCAGAAGGACAATCCCACTCAAAGCAACGAGGGCTCCGGTCAGGCACAGCTCATCTCTGATGGCCCTTGTACTCAAATCCAGGACTCCCCAGCTCCCGACACCACAGGGGTGCCCGTGGAGGAGGAGGACCCCTTCTTCAAGGTCCCTGTGAATAAGCTGGCAGCGGCCATCTCCAACTTTGGCTATGATCTGTACCGCGTGAGGTCCGGCCTCAGCCCCGCGGCCAACGTGCTGCTGTCCCCACTCAGCGTGGCCACCGCTCTCTCCGCGCTCTCGCTGGGTGAGTTCTCAGATGCGGACGGCCCCGGGGTCCTGGAGGCCCCCCGCATAGACACGGGCCCCTCAGGGAGGGGCAGAGGGGTGCTGCGAGAGCGGCCCCCCCGCGGTCCCTGCGCGGGCACCTCCGATCCCTCCCTGGCTCCACGGAGGGCGCCGACCACTGCCGACTTGGGGACGTGGCCTCACGACCACTTATTGTCGGGATGACTTCAACACTCATTCCTTACACGAGCTTCTGTGTGCCAGCCATTCGGCTAGGCGCTGGCACACAAGCAGGCGTGGTCCCTGCCCTCACCGGGTCACAGCTGTTCCCGGGGTAGACTCAGGAGCAGGTGACCCAAAACGTTCTGGTAAGAGCTGTGACCAGAGAAGCCCAGGGGCTTGAACCCTCCCTCCGGCCCTTGTCGCTCTCTCTAGGCCTCCTGGCCTTTGCGTGCTTGAGGAAAATCTTGTTTTTCTTCCACTGCCTTGGAATTTCTTGCCCACCTAGAATGCCTCCCGTATGAACAGTGGAAGACCAAGAGGGTGGTGGCCCCGTCCTGTCCCCGGAGCTGGCCTGACCTGGGCCCGGGTGGCCCGTTATTAAGGCTCCCGCCCTGGTCTCTCTGGCAGGAGCGGAACAGCGGACAGAATCCACCATTCACCGGGCTCTCTACTATGACCTGATCAGCAACCTGGACATCCATGGCACCTATAAGGAGCTCCTTGCCTCTGTCACTGTCCCCGAGAAGAACTTCAAGAGTGCTTCCCGGATCATCTTTGAGAGGAGTGGGTCACCTGGCTAGCCCGGGATGCCTGAGGAATACGGGGCTCTATGCTGCACGGGGCGGGGGGGGGGGGTTCTTTCTAAACACTAGATCATGGCTGCCCAGGCTGGGCCTGGGGCTGGTGGGCAGGAAGGGGCCCCGTGAGCTCAAAGAGGATCAGAAAGAGGAAGTAGACTGAGGGCGACAGTGGGAGGGCCGGGGAAGGGCGGTACCCTGAAGAGAAAGAGCAGTGAGTGAAATTCCTTGTTCCCTGTCCTGCGGAAGCTGGCACGGAGTCTCGGCAAGTCACCAGGAGTCACAGTCATGGGGAGTCACTAGGCAGGAAGTCAGGGCCTGCCGTGTGGTAAACCAGAGCCTCAGCCTGCTGCGCTCTCCCAAGAGCGGACGCTGGTGAGCGTTCAGAGCACTCTCACTTCTGCTCCATCTCTTCCCAGAGTTGCGGATAAAATCCAGCTTTGTCGCCCCACTGGAGAAGTCCTATGGCACCAGGCCCAGAATCCTGACTGGCAACCCTCGCTTGGACCTTCAGGAGGTTAACAACTGGGTGCAGGCCCAGATGAAAGGGAAAATTGCTAGGTCCACCCAGGAAATACCCAGTGGAGTCAGCATTCTCCTCCTCGGTGTGGCTTACTTCAAGGGTGAGGGCTTCACTTCTCTTTTGGCCAAGGGTGGATGGTGGGGAAGGGGGGACGTCAGAGACGGAGCTCAGCAGGAACTGAGAGGCGAAGCCAGAGGACAGCCTGGGAAAGGCGCTTGCCTGAGGGCTCCGTGCTTGTCATTAGTCCCAGGCAAACATGCGGTGCGTGTCTACAAAGCGTAAGAGGCCATGCACAAAGCCCAGCAGAGAGAAGAAAGTGCTAGCTCTCCTGTGCCTGTTTGGGGGTTGGCACCGTGAGATTCGGGCTGGAGTCAGATGAGGGTCAAAGCCCAGCTGGGCCTTCCCTGGCGTCGAGCCCTGGACAGGCCTCCCGGCCTTCCTGGGCCGAATCCCTCACCCCTAACACGGGCTGACAGACTTCAGAGGCTGGCTGTCTACATGGTCTCCTGTCTTCACATCCACCGGAACACTGTGCCCAGGGCATTCAGCAAACCATTAGTTCTCTAACAGCATCCTGCTGTGGTGACGTGCTCAAGACTCCTCCACGGACCGTGTGAGGCCGGCCCCATTCAGATAAGACTTGGGTGGGATTTGGGGCAACCTCTCCCTAAAATGCTTTATAACCGTCTATCAGGCAGTAGCCACAGTGGACCCCTGACCTTGAGAGAGGCCCTACTTGAAGCACCGATCTCCAGAAAGTGAGAGAAGCCATTACAGGTCAGCATATTAAAGGTCCCCTGGGGATATCACCTCTCTGTGAGCACTGGCCAGGGCCTCCGCCCCTCTGAGCTCTGGTGCTTTCCCAGACGAGAGGGGTGATATTGGGGTCCCTTGCAGCTCTGACCTCCTTTGATCCTGTCCCCCAGACACCTCACTGCAGAAGGAGACAACAGCGGACTTTTCTCCCAGGCCATCGCAGAATTTGTATGATCCAGACGGTCAAATCAATGATGCCTCCTATTTCCTCCCGAGTCTCTACATGGAGGGTATTCAGGCCCTTGACATACTGTGGTCCAGCCCGCACGTTCAGAGACAGAGCTGTTCCCCGACGGTCGGGGCCTCTAAGATTCCTTTAGCCAGGCAGCTTTCAACAATAGGCTTTGGTCTCCCGGCATGGTCCCGATGGCTGCCTGGTCTCCTGGGGCTCAGGGCACTCCATCTGTTTCATTCCAGGGCAGTGGGTAACAAAGTTCGACTCCAGAAAGACTTCCCTTCAGGATTTCCACTTGGATGAGGAGAGGACCGTGAGAGTCCCCATGATGTCAGACCCTAAGGCCATCTTACGCTATGGCCTGGACTCTGATCTCAACTGCAAGGTCTGTAGGGGCCGGGTGAGTGGCGGGTCGGGGGAGGACAGAGGCAGGCAGGACGGCATAGTGGAAATAGGATGACCTTTGAGATGGGACAGCTGTCTAAATTCTGCCTGCTGTGTGGCTTTCAGCAAGTCAATACCTTCTCTGAGCCTTTCTTCTTAAAACGAAGGCTAGGTATCGAAACTTACCCTCTTAGGGTTTGTTGTAAGGATTAACAGATAACGTGAAATGGGCTGAGACTGGGCAACTCACATGTTGGTGTTTTCTTGTCTTTTTTCCCCTTCTTCCTCTGCCTCTCCTTTTCTTTCTTTGGGGGGGGACTTTTATTTCTAGAATTCAAAGCCAAACTTAAAAAAAAAAAACCTGTCACACCCTCCAAATTGCTGGCATTCTAAGTCTTTCACATATATCTAACATCTTTTAATTGTAAGTCAGTAGGTCTTAAACCTTCTTTTTTGGGAATCGGACAAAACGCCTAAAACACTTGAGAGAAATGTCACGTATGCACATGCACATATTTCCATAAGTGGTTTCAGGGGCTGTTAGGACTCCTGATGCTGTTTGTCCCATGGACCTAAGGTTAAGAACCTCTGCTCAAAAGACCCATTTTATGTTTTGTTTTGTTTTCTATAGATTTTATTTATTTATCTGTCAGAGAGACAGAGAGCGACAGTGAGGAAGAGCACGAGCAGGGGGAGTGGGAGAGGGAGAAGCAGACTCCCCGCCGAGCAGGGAGCCCGATGTGCGGTTCGATCCCAGGACCCTGGGATCATGACCTGAGCCAAAGGCAGTCGCTCAACCAACTGGAGCCACCCAGGCGCCCCTAAAGACCCATTTTTTGTTTTACTGCTTCTGGGTTGCTGTACTCAACAGCCCCCACCTCTAGTCCAGGGCTCTGTATTTAACAGATGATCAGTCACTTTTGGCAGACAATCTTTGGGAGAAAACACAGACCTGGAATTCAATTCTAGCTCCTTGAACCACAGGAGAAAATTCTTTCAGCCCCTAACTTCAGTTGGTATTAAGCCAAGGTAAGAAAAGACAACAGTCTACTTTTTTGAAGGAACCTCAGTAAACATCTTGCTGCCAGAAGGCAATGGCCAAGAGGGACAGTTGTTAAACAGATTAGGGGCTGGGGACAGCACAGCCAGGGACCCACCGGAGGAGAGGAGAAGGCAGCGTGGAGTGTGTGTGTCGAGCCCCGGGCTCTTGGGCTCCAAGGGACTAACCCATGTGCTCCCTCCCTATTGTTTCAGATTGCCCAGCTGCCCCTGACTGGCCGCATGAGTATCATCTTTTTCCTGCCTCTGAAAGTAACCCAGAACTTGACCATGATAGAGGAGAGCCTCACCTCTGAGTTCATTCATGACATCGACCGAGAACTGAAGACTATTCAGGCGGTCCTGACCATCCCCAAGCTGAAGCTGAGTTATGAAGGCGAAGTCACTAAGTCCCTGCAGGAGATGAGTATGTCTGCAAGACCACTTTGCTCTTGGGTGGGTGGAGTTGAGCCTTTGAGCTTTCCACCCATGCTAAGCAGCACTCAAGGGCTCTATGGCTTTGTGGGGAGGCCATGGATGATTCCTTAATTCTAGCAGTGCTGGAGGGGAAGCCTGAACTGCCTTTCTTTTTTTTTCCCCCCCCCAAGATTTTATTTATTTATTTGAGAGAGAGAATGAGATGGAGAGCATGAGAGGGGAGAGGGTCAGAGGGAGAAGCAGACTCCCCGCCGAGCAGGCAGCCCGATGTGGGACTCGATCCCGGGACTCCAGGATCATGACCTGAGCCGAAGGCAGTCGCTTAACCAACTGAGCCACCCAGGCGCCCCTGAACTGCCTTTCTTATCAGACACATTCCTCAGCCCCAGAAGTATATATCTTGTAACAGAACACTCTCTCTCGACAGGTCTGTTGAGCTGGTTTTTATCCTTTTTTTTTTTTTTTAAAGATTTTACTTATTTATTTGACAGAGAGAGAGAGAGCACAAGCAGGGGGAGCGGCAGGCAGAGGGAGAGGAAGAAGCAGGCTCCCTGCTGAGCAGGGAGCCCGATGTGGGGCTCGATCCCAGGACCCCAGGATCATGACCTGAGCCGAAGGCAGACGCTTAACGACTGAGCCACCCAGGTGCCCCAGAGCTGGTTTTTTATCTTAACCTCACTTGCTGTGTGCTCTTGGGCAAGTCACTTAAGCCCTACCTGGGGAGCAGAGCAAGATGGCGGAGGAGTAGGAGACCTAAATTTCATCTGGTCTCAGGAATTCAGCTGGATAGGGATCAAACCATTCTGAACACCTACGAACGCAACAGGAGATCGAAGAAAAGAATAGCAACAACTCTCTGAACTTAAGCCCTACCCAGCCCAGAGGTCTACAGACCTCACTGAGGGTCCAAAGTGGTGTTGTACTCCCAGCTTGCCTGCCTTCTTGGGAATCAGGACTCCCATTCAAGTGGACTCTATTCTTCCGAGGGGTGTTGGGTAAGGCAGGGTTTTAATGGAAATCTCTCTCAATTTCTGCAGAACTGCAATCCTTGTTTGATTCGCCAGACTTTAGCAAGATCACAGGCAAACCTATTAAACTTACCCAAGTGGAACATCGATCTGGCTTCGAGTGGAATGAGGATGGGGCGGGCACCAACCCCAGCCCAGGGCTCCAGCCTGCCCGCCTCACCTTTCCCCTGGACTATCACCTCAACCAACCTTTCATCTTTGTACTGAGAGACACAGACACAGGGGCCCTTCTCTTCATAGGCAAAATTCTGGACCCCAGGGGCATTTAATGCTCCAGTTTAATGTTCAAATAGCCTGGAAGAACAAAACCCTCGAGGGATGGCAGATTACATTATTACCTGAAGGCTGCCCCTACAATGTTTCAGTGTATACTTTGCAATAAAAGTGCTTTATCCTTAACTTTCGTTGCCCTGTTTCTCATTCTGTTCTGAGCTATGTTAAGTTTAATATGAAGATAAATAGCCCCTTTGTGATTTGCTGGTTCTATACTTAGAGCCTGGTCTCTCTAAACTCTGCAGAAAGTCACCACTTGTAAGAACCCCTTGAGTTACCCTCATTGTATGATGCAGGGCGGGTTCTCTCTCTGGGAGTGTTTACGCGCTAGGACCACTAATGCTTGCAAGAGGGGATCTCCTGTCCCCACAATCAGTGGGGTATGCTCTTAAATAAATCAAACCTTAGGGCTTTTTTTTTTTCTTAAATTTATTTATTTTATTTTAGAGAGAGAGAGCACGTGCACACGAGCAGGAGCGGCAGAGGGAGAGGGAGAGAGAATCTCAGGCAGACTTTGTGCTGAGTCTGACGCCGGGCCTGATCTCATGACCCTGAGACCATGTCCTGAGCCAAAACCAAGAATTGGCTGCACCACCCATGTGCCCCCCAAAACTTTAGCTTGCTTATTTATTTATTTATTTTTAAGATTGCACCTACTCATTTGACAGAGAGAGCACAGCAGAGGGAGTGGCAGGCAGAGGGAGAGGGAGAAGCAGGCCCCCTGCTGAGCAGGGAGCCCGATGCAGGGCTCGATCCCAGGACCCCGGGATCATGACCTGAGCCGAAGGCAGATGCCCAACCGGCTGAGCCACCCAGGTGCCCCAAAACTTCAGCTTTTCATGCAAGCACAGATATCCCCCAGTCAAGCTAATGTCACCTGACAACACAGGATAACACACGGACAGATAAGAGATGTAATCTGTAACTTAATGTTTCATAAAGCATTTAAGGAAAGCTCCCAAAGTATACCTAAAATGGGAACCTGATATGTGAAAATTCTAAACACATTCTTTTTAAGGAAGCATGCCTATTTTACAGAGTATAAGAGGACCTTTTTTTAGGAACATGAAACATGACAAGTGTTTGGAACAGAATACAGAGCTGTCCTCAGGACTAAATTTTCAAGAAGAAAAATTTATCTCCATGAAAAAAAAAATCTCACTGGCCACTGCCTTGCCACAGTGAATTAGTAGAAAGAAGAATAAATTAGATTCTGCCTGACCTTCACTCACGTTTTTGAATGTAAACTGTGTTCTAAACACTCAGTTTCCCGAAAAGCTACTGCCAGACATCTCCAGGCTATTCATTTCCTGATGATAATGCTGAGGCTAGCAGCAGGGACTTCCTGGGCAGTCCAGGGAGGGCAAGCTGTCAAAGCAGCGTGGACCTGACGTTCCTTTCCACTAACTCACTGGAACCACTCGGTCACGGACAGTGATATGGCCATCAGGGTTCAGAACAGAGAGTCTCCCAGCCTTCTGGCCAGGATGCAAATCTAGACTATTGCTCTACACATCCAGGCAGGAAAGAGCTATCACCCCTCCCTTCTGTCGCTGGAGTCTGAAACCACAAGCAGCAATGATCCTATTAGTGTTTGGTCAGCGGGTCTGCCAAGAGTACATAATGAGAGGCAGATAATAAGGACTGGAAAACTGGCAGGAGACAAATTTAGAGTTGCCATCCCAGGAAGAGATTGCCCAACAATAAAGTGGCCCCATACTTATTTCTCCATTCACAATTTACACTGTACCAGTTTTAACAAAGGATTCGAGAAAGCTAGATCCGATACATGAAATGGTATCTCTAGAGGTAAGGAGCCTCGGTGATTTCTTGCTTTATAATTATTTTTCAATTACAACACAACTACTAAGAGTGTAACTTCCCACTGGAGTGGTACATAACATGTCATTACTACTAGAAACCACAGGAATGTTCCAGGGAAAGACTATCATCATTTAGTGAGATGGAGTCTAGCCAAAACCCCAGGCTAACATCCAGATGCCTGCAGATCAGCTAAAATCCTTTTAAAGGGTTTAGGCTCTCCAGACACCAGTTTGAAGTCTTTTCTGGGAACTGGGAGTTTTTACGGGAGGATAGTTAATTATCTGAAGAAAACCTTGGGTTCTACACTGAAGGCCCCAATGAGATGGGTGGCAAGTCCAATAAACAAGATTTCATCTTCTGTAGCTCCTGGATCTCGTCATTGCAAGGGCCATAGTGCACCATCAGAACCTTTTCTGCCCTCTGTATTGTGTTCAGTGCTTCTGGGATTGCGAACCTGAACCGAAGGAGGTGAAAGGAGTGAAGCCACTCATTCAGTCAAGTCAACATTAATCAAGGGCCTACTCCCACCCTGTGAAGAATACGAAGTTATCTAAGAACAGTTTGTCCTCAGGGATCTCACAATCTAGAAGGGTAGGGGAAAGACCTTCACCAACACACTGTAAGGCAGAGTTTGAAAACAAAGTTATGAGAAAAAGCAGAAAGATTCTAAGGTCCTGAGAAATAGGCAAATCTCAAGGTATTCAATCTGGGATTTATCCCATGGTTTCCTCAGGAGTCTTCACCTGCAGGCAACCAAGTCCACCCCAGACCTGACTCTGCAGACCTGTTCTCTTGACCAAATGGGCGGCACCTATGTCTTGGGTATCAGGTCCACAAACCATTCATAATCTTAGGATCCAGCTTCAAACATTGCCTCACCCCAAAGTGCACCAATGGCAGCTTTATCAAGGCTGGAAGGAAGTATTCCATCTAGAAATAGGGCCTCCCAATGACATCAACACCTACTGTTCTTCCCGTTAAACCTACAAAGCAGGGTCTCCCTGCCTTGACACTATTGCTATTTTGGGCTGGATAATTCTGAGCTGTGGGGGGCTGTCCTGTGCATTGCAGGATGTTTACTAGCATCGGGGCCTCTACCCTGAATCATGACAACCAAAAATGTCTCCAGACATTGCCAAATATCCCCTGGGGGCAAAATTACTCCTGGTTGAAAACAACTGCTTTAAAAGGAACAGGATGGGGGAAGGAAGAGCCCCTGGAGTTGAAGGTGCTGAGAAAGAGGGCGGTGAGGGAGGCGTGAGGAAGCACAGGACTGAGGAGAGCTGCTGGGATGCGGGTGGTGGGACCACCTGGCAACTTTCCCCTAGGAATGTCCCTTCAGTGCTAAGAGCTTTCCCCATATCACTCGGGAGGAAATTCTAAAGCTTCAAGTTTGTCAGCAAAACAGAAGGAAAGGATCTTTCCCCAAGGAGAAATAAAGGAAGTTTCCACATGCTTAAAAGCACCATAGGAGAAAAGTAACGCCAGAAGAGCCTAATAAAAGACAGTGTGTGGCCTAGAGGGTGTTAGGAAACCAGAGAAAGACTTACCCGTTGAAAAAGAGTTGGGCCAGTTTGAAGAGCTCATGGCCCATTTCAACACTGGATGGCCCATGCTGAACCTCTACCACTCGTAGACTCTTCTGGAGATGGGTAGCTGACTTTTGCCAGTCCCCTGTAAAGAAAGAGAAATCTGGTTCCAGAAAAGAACCACAGTCAACTGTTTTGGGTGAGTGTTTTCAGGGTGAGGAAAGCTCAGTGGAAGGTGAGAATAGCTTCAGCTGAAAGACTGGGAGGAGACCAACCAGATGAGGCTGGGCTCGTGACCAAAAGCACAAGGCAAACGTGGTCCTCGGAGCAGAAGATGAAGACATGTGCCTTACCTAAGGCAGCGTAGGCCTGGGCCAGGGCATCCTCCATTTCTCCTACCATGCTGTGTTCTGCTGACAGGAAGCTCTCAGCATCATGCCGACACCCCAACAACAGCTGAATGGCTCGCTCTGTCAATGCAAAGGAAGGTGGCCTCATTACTACACAAACCCAGGCCTAGAAATGAGAACCCAGCTGTTAAGTTCCATATTGACTGGGCTGATTGCGGAAACCCCACTTTGTCTCCTTGTTGTGACCTATAATGTTTGTTCCTATAAAGCTGTTGTTCCCTCACAGTTTCTCTTTCAGCAGAAGAGGTGTGAGGTGAGGCCTCCCCACATTGACGCTGGGTTTCCAACTTCAAGTGGCCTAGATTCCACTTACAATCATCATTTCTCTTGACTCAGAAATCTAAGTTAAAGGTCAACTTTTACAAAGTCGGGTAAATAAATTCCTACGCCATCAAGTTCTAAGGCAGAATTTGTAAGGAAAATGTGGAGTTCCACAAGTCTCTCTGAAAACAGCAGGATTCTTCTATCCACCGGGCACTTGTTCCACTGCTCTCTAGAAGAGATGAGGCTCTGAGGAGAGCAGAGCAATCTCTCTAGGAAATCAGGTCATTAGGCCCTGGAATTAAAATAAATGACACCGAACTTCTGGATCTGCACAAAGATCATGGATGTCAGAGATAACCCTTTAGTCATCCTGGGGTACTTTAACTTAGCTCCCTGACGCCCAGGAGAACAACAGCTTAAATCGTCTGGCCCTTTTCAAGGACACCACACAAACTCAGCCGGTTAGGGCTCAGTCTCATCGGCCTGCGTAGCCATCTTGTGGCTGGCATGGGGATAATTAAATGTAATTCTTCAATCATCACTGAGTAGCCTCGAGTCCAAGGTGAGCCCAGAATAAATAAAAAGGGAGGGACTGGAGGACCAAAGCAGGGAGCCAGTCTCACCTAGCTGACCACTTCCGAAAAGCTTCCGGGCCTGCCCAACCTGCTGCTGAAGGTCCTGTAATCGGGGGATGAGGCGATCCCTGCTGACTGGTTCCGTACAGGATGTGCTGCCACAGCTCAGAATGTCACCTCCCTGTGAAAGTCAGTTTTGTCTTTATTCCTGTACCACAGTTGGTTAGCAACACGGCATGTGTTTTACATTATAGGGTCGCTCTGCAGCTTCCAACCCTGTGGGGCAAAGAGACGCCCCTAATAATACACCATGACCAAAGCCTGACTCGATTGAGTTTGACAGCAGCAACTCTAATGAAAGCAGTAGGCGGTCCCTCCCTGAGATTTAATTTTTGCAACCAAAATTAAACTGGTACGGGTCACAGTTTCTTTCCGTCTCTATACCCCTCTCCTGTGTCTCTGGATTCAGAACTTTGGATGACAGACAGTGGTTATGAAGAAGTCATTAGTACAGAGTTGTTAAATCACTCTGTTATGCACCTGAAATTAATGTGACATTGTGTGTCAACTATACTTCCAAAGCAAAAGCCAGGGGCACCTGGGTGGCTCGGTCGGTTAAGCGTCCAACACTCGGTTTGGGCTCAGGTCCTGATCTCAGGGTCGTGGGATCAAGCCCTGCATCGGGCTCCATGCTTAGTGGGGAGTTTGCTGGAGATGCTCTCTCCCTTTGCTCTGGCCCTCCCACTTGTGCTCTCTCTCTCTCAAATAAATAAATAGGGACGCCTGGGTGGCTCAGCCAGTTAAGTGTCTGCCTTCGGATCAGGTCATGATCCAAGGGTCCTGGGATCAAGTTCTGAAATCAGGTCCTTGCTCAGCAGGGAGTCTGCTTCTCCTTCTGCCTGCCGCTCCCCCTGCTTGTGCGCATGCTCTCTGACAAATAAATAAAATATTTAAAAAATAGATAAAAAAATCTTAAAAAAAAAAAAAAAAAGCAAAACCGTAAGAAAACCAACAGGAAGAGATGCTAGGTGAGGCCTCCCTATATTTGACCTTGGGTTTGTAACTTCAGCTTTACAACACGACCAGCTAGCTCTACATTACACCAGCTCTACATTACACTTACGGTTCCCTGAAGAATACTGTATCCTCTGGTAGAGGAGAAAATCTGAGGAGGACTTCTGTTTTTTATTTTTTATTTATCACTTATTTATTTTTAATTTTTTGGGGGGGAGGGGCAAGGGGAGAAGGAGAGAGAGAATCTTAGGCAGGTTCCATGCCCAGCACGGAGCCCAGTGTGGGGCTTGATCCCATGACCCTAAGATGATGACCCGAGCTGAAATCAAGAGTCAGATGCTCAACTGATTGCGCCACCCAGGTGCCCCATGTGCTGTTTTTTTTAAATGCCAGTATCTAGACCCTTATTTGGCAACGGCAACATGATTTCTCCCGAGGATCCTCTCCTACCTTCCCAGAGTCAGTGCCTGGTGGCTGAGGGGGTGGGCGTGTGGCTCGCATCTGACCCATTCCTAGGGGCCAAACGGCTGGAGGAAAACTATGAGTCTGATTTGCCACCAGCCACGGGTATCATCAGGTCAATGAAATGCAGTAAAATTTTTGCCCGAACTGCTGTCGGGGAGCGCGTGCCTTTACCCCCCTGGAGCAGAGGCTGTGAGGCTGGGGCTGCAGGTGGCTGTCCTGCCCCAACTAGAGGGAAGTCTGGCTGGGACTGCAATGACTGAGAAAGTGGAGCTGAGGCAGGTAGAGACAAACTGGGCCTTGGTGGCATTATCTGAGCCCCTGGATCGAGCGGTTGGCTGAAATACCCCCGCACTGGGACCTTTCAGTGATTTACTTGAGCAAATAAATTCTCAAGTCTTTTTTCCCCCTTTTCCCTCAGACCAGTTTAGGGGGGGATTTTCTGTTATTTGCCAAGAGACCAATGACTAGACCCAGCCTTTCCTGGGGGAATTCCCGTGCAGGGGTGACCAGTGTGTGGGCAAGATGGGCTGACGGGGAAGACACTGTGGCTCTCAGCCTCTCCTGAAGATTTATGGCCTCTGGGCTGAATGACTGACCTCCAGCAAAAGTGGAGAAGAGAAGGAAGAAGAGAGCTTCACCTGCAGGGGCGCTCCGCACCGGTCACAACAGAATGCCTCCCACCGGGGCCCGACAGCAGCCTGGTGCTTCTCCTTCTGACAGGCCGGGCAGCCGCAGTCAAAGAAGTACTGAGACCTGAGCTTCTGCTGCCTCTCGGCAACAGCCATCCTGCTGTGGTGAGGCCCTGCAGAGAGACCACGCCTGGCCAATGTTTACGGCAACAGAGAGTTGGGCACTACTTGCAAAACTTTAGCTTAGCAGAGGTGGTTCTCCATCATTTTACAAGTACCCTTTACTCAAACATTTGTGGCGCTAGATACAGAAATAAGCTTCCAAGTTGCAAGGAAAAAAAAAAACCCTCAAAGTTATTCTTAGCCCATTTTTTGGAAAAGGAAGTTTATGGGATTAAGCAGGGAGATACATGATAGTTTAGACACAAACAGGGCCAAGGGAGGAGGCCAGAAGGTCCTTTTTTTTGGCTTAAGTATGCACTGCCTTCACCTGTCCCGGGGGCTTGCTCGTTCTCATTCGCCCTGTCCTTTCCTGCCAGAGAAGCGTGGCCAGTGATGAGGAGGGAGGGCTCACCATAGCAATGGAGAATCTCTTGCCCTTTTCCAATCTTCTCTGATGCCCGGATGGTGGCGACTGTGCTAATGAAGGACACGCTGGTGTTGGGGCTGCAGGAATGGTTCAGGAGGCTGACAACAGGGAAGATGCCTGTGGCAAGGCGGACCTGTCTGCTGTTGCTAACGCTGTTCTCTTTAGATCCTGAAAGTGCTGGAGGAGAAAGGAAAAATGTGTCAGGACATTAATCTTGGCCTCACCATCCATTCCTCAGAAGATGAGCTGGGCAACTGGGCCTGAAACCCATCTGAGTCATAGCTCCACAGCCGGATCCAATATACATCAGATGGAAAATGACTCACAGCAAACTCTCATCCCCAGGAAGCAAAGCAAATGAACACATGAAAAGTCCACCGGAATCCTGGAACCTAACCATTGTGTCTCAATACCAGAAAAAAATCCAAAGGTTAGAATTTATTAAAAAAAAAATAATAAAGGAACTATCAGTCGGAAACCTTCTAGATAGACAGTTTCATAATGTTCACCAGGGCACAGAACCCAGAGTACCTGCTGAGGTTATTTCCCAAAGGCTTCTATAGTTGAAGCTGCTTTTGTTTAACTGGTTTTTGGTTAGTTAATAGAACAAATAACCTAATTATTCTCCCAAACTAAACAGGTTTATAATATATTTTTAAAAATCATATTCCTTAAGCTCACCTGTTTATTTTTGCCGTCCCAACTTTGTGGGAAATCAGCCAGCAGTAGTTGTCATTGAAAAAAACCTCTCTGGGGGTACCTGGGGGGCTCAGTCGGTTAAGCGCCTGCCTTCGGCTCAGGTCATGATCCCAGGGTCGTGGGAACCTGCATCAGGCTCCCTGCTCAGCAGGGAGTCTGTTTCTCCCTCACCTTCTGCCCCTCCCCTGTTCATGCTCTCCCTGTCTCTCTCTCTCAAAAATAATAAATAGGGACGCCTGGGTGGCTCAGTCGGTTAAGCATCCGCCTTCGGCTCGGGTCATGATCCCAGGGTCCTGGGATCGAGCCCCGCATCGGGCTCCCTGCTCAGCGGGAAGCCTGCTTCTCCCTCTCCCACTCCCCCTGCTTGTGTTCCCTCTCTCGCTGTCAAATAAATAAATAAAATCTTTAAAAATAAAAAAATAAATAAAATCTTTGGGAAAAAACCCCAAAAACAAAAACCTCTCTGGAAAAGCTCTATTCAAGACAGTCTCATGTCCCCCAAACAATCTCTTCTTTGAAACACAATTAACCAGCAATTTAACTACATGATTGAAAATTAGGAAGGAAGGAAAAGGCCTCTAAGCAGTGAGGCTATTTCTGCACCAAGGCTCCTACACTTATATTCATAGATGAGGAGTTCTTTATCCTCTCATGCAGTCCTATTTGCTCTTATTTTAGCCACAGTTTTAACTGGCTTGGTTATTCACTTTCTCAGCCCCCAGCAGTTGAGAAACCGAGAACTAATAAGAAGCAGGTTCTCTGACAATGGCAAAAGAGACAGGGTGACAGGAGAAGGAGGAAGAAAAGTTATATAAGAGCCTTAGGGCAAACAAAAACCCTAGTACCACTCAAGCTTTACACTGTAACATCTCCCTCAACCAGAGGTTTCTAGACCGACGGCATATCTATCTGGGTTTTGTAATAGCCATACATAGCTCAGGAAGATGCATGCACTAGATAACCCTGGGCATCCAGAATGGCTTAAATTGTGTTCAATTGGTGGAAGCACGAGGAAATTGTATTTTCAACCACACTGGTTGAAATATGAAAGATACTCGTACTTCAGAAGGAAACTTTCAGTTTTCTGGATAACTGAAAAACCATCACGAATCTCAACCCACCAATCACCGAAGAAATGAAGCAGTCTAGGGACAAATGTAATGAATAAAGAAAATATCATGAACCACCATGTGGAAATGCTCTAGAAAGGAAAACATTAAATATAGGAATAATGTCTCTCTGCAGACAATTCGATTGTCTGTTGCTATGCAGGACAAGAATAGAGTAAGTAAATGACATTCACAGGGAACCCAAATGACTCAATTTCAGTGAACAGTCCTACAAACTGTATTGAAACCTTTCATCAGAGCTTCCCGTAAGTATTTAGCAGGTTTTGGTTTCTCCTCCGTCTCCCCTGTCCAATGCCTGCCTTCTGGAGTATGTGCTAATGAGCAGGGAAAATGCTAAAAGGCAGGCAGCAGGAAGAATCGGCACAGGACACGACCTGTTTGTAGTCTGAATAATCAGCCTCTGCTTAATTAAAAGCTGACCTGCATTCCCAACTACTGGTAACTGGCAAGCTGTATTAGAACACTTGCTAAAATTTTCCCAGAAAAATTATCACAATACAGTGAGTAATGCCAGCTTTGTGAATTATTTATAGATTATTCTCTAACATAAGTAGGCCCAGGAACTGAGTGGGGTGAATATTTATGTCAGAGTTGAATCTCTAATTATTTCTAAAAATTAAGTATTGACTTAAAAAAATTATTCAATATTTTGCATTAGTCATCTGTTAGCAGAGATAATGGAAAGTGAGAATATATATGAAATTTATCAACCAAATTTAATGTGACATTTTGTGTATAAAATAAAAACAAAGAGGGAGTGATGCTTTATTTTACTAAAAGTGTACCTTGGTAACAGCCCCTAGTGCATTTACAATGGATTCAAGGGGCACCAGGGGGTCCCAGTCTGTTAAATGTCTGACTCTTGATTTCAGCTCAGGTCATGATCTTGGGGTTGTGAGATTGGGCCCTGTGTTGGGTTCCGTGCTCAGTGGAGTCGGCTCTCCCTCCCCCTCTACCTCTCCCCTCATGTGCTCTCTCTAATAAATAAATAAACGTTAAAAAAAAGAAAATAAAATGGGATTCAAGTACAGAAGAAAAAGATTCATTCACAATACTTCCAGAATATATCTATTCTGGTATGTATATGTATATATATATTTTTTTTATTTTTTAAAGATTTTATTTATTTATTTGACAGAGAGAGACAGCAAGAGAGGGAACACAAGCAGGTGGAGTGGGAGAGGGAGAAGCAGGCTTCCCGCGGAGCAGGGAGCCCAGTGCGGGGCTGGATCCCAGAACCCTGGGATCATGACCTGAGCCGAAAGCAGATGCTTAACGACTGAGCCACCCAGGCACCCTATTTTTTTTTTTTTTTAAGATTTTATTTATTTACTTTGACAGAGACACAGCGAGAGCAGTAACACAAGCAGGGGGAGAGGGAGAAGCAGGCTTCCCGAGGAGCAGGGAGACCAATGTGGGGCTTGATCCCAGAACCCTGGGATCATGACCTGAGCCAAAGGCAGACGCTTAACAACTGAGCCACCCAGGCGCCCCTCTGGTAGATATTTTATTTTATTTTTTTTTAATTTTTTTTTCGATTTTATTTATTTGAGAGAGAGAGACAGAGATAGTGAGAGAGCACAAGTGGGGAGGAGAGGAAGAAGCAGGCTCCCCACAGAGCAGGGAGCCCGATGCGGGACTCGATCCCAGGACCCCGGGACCATGACCTGAGCCGAAGGCAGACGCTTAACCGACTGAGCCACCCAGGCGCCCTCTGGTAGATATTTTATAACACAAGAAATTTGTGTGTATATCACACAAATAAGGACACAAACTGAAGGTAGATTCCTTGGTTGTTGAAGAGTGAAAGCAAAGGGCAGTGAATTAACCTGAACCTACATGGAACCTCATTAAACCTTGTAATGATTCCAGATACATCTCAAATCTGCCGTTCCCTCTGAGATAGAACCACACTGACTGAGGTCTAGAATATCATCAATGGCCAGTTCTGTGCCCTAAGATTAGTACCAAAGAAAGGTCCCTGAGGAACTTTAATTAAATAGGATTTTTTTTAATAAAGATTTTTATTTATTTATTTGACAGAGAGAGAGACAGCGAGAGAGGGAACACAAGCAGGGGGAGTGGGAGAGGGAGAAGCAGGCTTCCTGCGGAGCAGGGAGCCCGATGCAGGGCTCGATCCCAGGATCCTGGGATCATGACCTGAGCCGAAGGCAGATGCTTAACGACTGAGCCACCCAGGTGCCCCGAAATAGGATTTTTTTTTTAAAGATTTTATTTATTTATTTGACAGAGAGAGCGAGAGAGCACAAGCAGGGGGAACATTAGAGGGAAAGGGAGAAGCAGGCTCCCCGCCAAGCAGGAAGCCTGATGCGGGGCTTGATCCCAGGATCCTGGGATCATGATCTGAGCCGAAGGCAGACACTTAACCATCTGAGCCACCCAGGCGCCCCTGATTAAATAGGATTCATGCAAAGATAATAACATACATTTTTACAGGTTTTGGTCAAAGTCTATCCTAGTTAATGCTTGAATCCTTCTGTGCTGCTAATGAGGGTCCGTAAGAATACTAACGGGAAGTATTGGAACCCCAAGGAAATAATGAAAAGGGATATAACATGATTAGAAATATGAGCAGACTAAAACAAAATCAGATTGGACTCAAAAATTGTAAGTGAACATTGCTGGTAGGCGTGTAACTGGTGCAACTTTCCTGGAGAGCAATTTTGCAGTATGTATCAAGTGCCTTAAAAAGGTTCTTATAGGGGCTCCCGGGTGGCTCAGTCAGCTGGGCTCCCAACTCCAGATTTTGGCTCAGGTCATGATTTGGGGTCATGGTGATCGATCAAGCCCTGCCTTGGCCCCACACAGAGTCTGCTTGAGTTTCTCTACCTGTGCCCCTCCCCCAGCTCATGGGCACTCGTGTGCTCTCTCTCAAATAAATAAATGAATCTTTAAAAAAAATTAAAAATGTTCATATAAAAAAAGTTCCTATCATTTGAATTATTTTTATTATTTAGAAAACGAATTAAAATTACAAGAGGAATACATGGTAGTCAGAAAAAAAATTATGAAGTGAAAATTATAGAGAAAATAAGTCATCTGTAAGCCTATCAGCCAGGTAGAACAGTTTGGGGCATTTTCTTGCGGGCCTCTTTCTAGCCTTATGCATGAAATTCTCATGTGATGCACAGAGTAATTTGTAAGTTAATTCTTTTCACTTAACACACCATGGCCATTTCTTTATACTCTAACCTAAAATGCATATTATAGTTAAAGAAAATAGCCAAAAAAGCAACGCTGCCAATCTAATAGGGAAAGAATGGTGCCAATCTAATAGGGAAAGAATGGTACCTTGTTTTAATTACAAGAGGGCTTAAACATGATCAT